GAATCGTACTCTTAAATCTTCAAGGAATTGAATTCAGACTGAGCTTACACTTGTATAGTAGCTCTTAGTTTTATTTACATAAAGAAGGAAGTAAGGCTTCAGAAGAGTTTACAAGCTACATCTCATCTTTGGGTTGTGTTCACTAGAAAAAAAAATCACATGATGCCATCTTATACAATCATTTTAAGCTACACATACAGCAAGCTAATAATTCTGCAAAAAATAAATTTTGTTATAAAAATTTAAAAATAACAGCCAGAATACTCCTTATTCCATTTACTAAAAGTAAGCTGTTTCCAAGTAGGTACTGATTACATTTACTGGTTGACACTGCCAAATCCAATAATACCATCTTTTAGTATTGACACTTAAATTAAAATTTCTCCCGGAAACGAGTTCTATAAATGATGGATATAGAAACAGACACTGTCCAGGCAGTTGTTTTGTAGAAATGGTGTTGTTATGTTCTGGTGTTTTCTAGATCATCTCAGATGGTAAATGAAAATGAGATGCCAAGAGAGCCTTAAAAAGACTCAGAGGACCAGCTTTGGAGTATAAGTCAATCTTGAATTCCAGCGCTTAAAAGTTGTGAGAAAGCTAATTGAAAGTTAAATGTTCACTTGAATCTCTCTGATTATATTTTAGAAACTGCTACGCACAAAAAAAGAATTTATTCTTATTTTCTCTGGGTTGAAAAGTGCATGTAAAATAAAAAAAGAAAGCACTTTTTATATCACTTTGATTTTATATTCATTTGCCATTTGCCAAGATAGGGGGTGTTTACCAGACAACATGGAGTGTGTTGAGAGGAAAAACTGCTGATTTTGAAATGTGAACACCAAAAATTATGTTCAACAATTACTAATCCATATCTGAGTCAGTGTGTTTTTATGTGAGTCCGACATATACATGTGCTATATAAATGTCATCAGTTTATCAGCTTACTGCTAAATGTAAACATTTAACATGAAAACTGCCTCTTTATGTAGTCCCTAATTCTTAGAATGATGCGTATTTCCTAGGGAGAAATGGAGAATAACAACCCTGGACAATTACCACATGTGGTTTTATGAGGTAATTAAGATGGTGGTTAAGAGAAGGTTAAAAAATAAAAAGGTATTTCAAATCATTTTTCAAGGAATTTTGCAAAAATATGATTTTAATATATTTTTTGCTTATGAAATGATATTTAAAACCATAGTTTCTTTATCTTTTACAGGGATGTTTCCCTCTTTTTCTATTGACTTATCC